GAGGAGCCCCTTTTCCTCCTTCCCGCTCTTCCCGAGGAGCCTTTTCCCTCCTTCCCTCCTTCCCCGCTCTTCCCGAGGAACCTTCCCTCCTTTCCCGCTCTTCCCGAGGAGCCCTTTCCTCCCTCTCTCCTTTCCCGCTCTTCCCGAGGAGCCTTTCCCTCCTTCCCTGCGCTCCCGCTCTTCCCGAGGATCCCTTCCCTCCTTCCCCGCCCTTTCGCGCGCCGGACACGCCCCTTCGTGGGCGGAGCGAACGACCCGAGGGGGCGGAGCCGGAGTAACAACGGGGATTGTGATTGGTGGGTGGGCGTGGCCAAAGCAAGGAGGCGTGCCCATAGGAGCTCCATGGCAACGGGGCGTAGCCAATAAAAAGGGGGGCGGGGTTTAAAGCTCGGGGGCGTGGCCTGAGGTAATGACCAGACAAGGGCGGGGCAAACAAGGGGCAACGTCATGGGAAGGGCGTGGTCAAAAAAAAAGAAAGGCGTGGTCAGAAGGTGTGGGCGTGGCCATTGAGGGAGGGCGTGGTTTAGGCGGGTCCCCGGGAATCCCCGGGGGTTGGGGGAGGTTTGGGAGGGGGTTGAGTGATTTTGGGGGGTCCCCAACACCTTGGGGGGGGATTTTGGGGACAAATGGGGGTCTCGGGGGGGGCGAGTGATTTTGGGGGTGCCAAAGCCTGGGGGGGGATCTGGAGGGACACCTGGGGGGGTTTGGGGTCTCTGAGGGGGGTTATTAAGGACTTGGGGGCGGGGGGGCTGTGTGGGGTCCCCAAGGCATTGAGGGGGTTTCCAAACCTTTGGGGGGGTCTCCATGGGGTCCCCACGGCCTTGGGGGGCACCCATAACTCTTTGACCCCCTCAACACCCCCATAAATCCTCCCAGACCCCCAAAAACCCCCATCACTCTGTGACCCCCTCCCACACCTCCCTAAACGCCCCTAAATCCTTGTGGCTCTTTGATCCCCCAACACCCCCTTAACCCCATAAAACCCCCATAAACCCTTATAAATCCCCCTAAAACCCCCATTGCTCTTTGACCCCCCCAGACCCCATAAACCCCCCAAAATCCCCATCACTCTTTGACCCCCCCTCCCCCCTTAACCCCATAAACCCCCATAAACCCCCACAAACTCCCCATAAACCCCCACAAACCCCCCGTTGCTCTTTGACCCCCCTCCACCCCATAAACCCCCCAAAATCCCCATCACTCTTTGACCCCCCTTTCCCCCCTTAACCCCATAAAACCCCATAAAACCCCATAAACTCCCATCACTCTTTGACCCCCCCCTTCCCCCTTAACCCCATAAATCCCCATCACTCTTTGACCCCCCCTTTCCCCCTTAACCCCATAAAACCCCATAAACCCCCATAAATCCCCATAAAACCCCACCAACAACTCGGGAAGAACAAAACCACCTTTATTCCATATTTTTCCGGGAATAAAATCCTTCCAAAGGCACTGCGGGATGAGGAGCGGTGGGATGAACCCCAAATGACCCCAAAGGCTCAGGGGGTCCGACACTTGACCCCAAATGACCCCAAATGACCCAAAT